AAAAAAAAATAAAAAAAAATAAAAATATATATATAAAATATACCAAAGACAGACCCTGACAAGATCCATAAAAGCGGTTGACCTCTTACAAGAAAAAAAGTAAAAAAAAAAAGTAAAAAAAACCAATAAAAACGTTTTGTCCACGGATATTTAACAACTCTTTTGAAACCAATCATAAAATTGATAAATGTCAACTAAAATAATAAAAAATATTTATTTAAATATTTATTGAAATATTTATTAATATATATATATATATAATAAATATAATAATTCAATTCAAGTAATAAAATATTTATGAAAAATAATATCAAATTAATTTCAAACGTAGTTACATTTTAAAACAAACTTTCTCTATGATAATTAAAAAAAGAAAATATTCTTAACATAAAACCTTGTTCAATTGGGGTCACCTTATATATTATTACTAAAAAAAAAAAAAAAAAAATAAAATCCTATTATATAAGAATTTTGATTAAAATATTAGTCTCCCCTCTCCCCACCCCAAAAAAAAATAAAAAAAATATTCGGTCACGAAGAGAGTTTAAGTGAAAATAAATCAAATAAATTTTGAAATGATAATATCAAATGAAAAAAAACAAAAAACAACAAAAATTAAAAAAATATTATACATTATACATATTAACGAAAAAAAAAAAAAATAAAATAAAATCGAATTCTTTTGGGTTTAACCTTGAGAATAGAACACGTTCATTTACTGTGATCCCAGTATTCATTTAAACGTAACGACATAATCGTTTCATCGTGTAACGTCAGCGCATTTTACAGCATTACGTTACGATCTAAATCCTATATATATATATGTGTGTGTGTGTGTGTATGTCTATGTGTATATGTGTAGAGTAAGTTCTCTTTTAGCATAATCTCGTGTCTCTGTGCCAACAAGGCCCAAGAACGCATCGTTGTGTCTACTCCTCTCTCTCTCTCTCTCTCTCTCTCTCTCTCTCTTCGTACAATTTTTTGTCTTCTTCTATTCAAACGAGAACGCACATGGATCACGTGGGCGCGTTCGACTAATTAACGATGCAGATAGATAATTAATCATCTGTCAATTATTTTTCTTTTACTTTGTTATCCTTTTTTTCTTCTTCTTATCTTATTAACAAATTCATGTTTCAAATTAATTCAAAAAGTTTAATGAAATAAATTGTCAATTGATATAAATAAACTATGTTGTTTTAAATGTAAAATTGTCAAAATATGATTGATTGCAATAGAAAAATCGTATGATTGAAAAATCTTTGTAAAAAAATCTATAATGTTACAAAAAAGATTATTGAAAAAAATGAAATAAGATGAGATAATCAAGAAGAATAAGAAAAAGGAATGACTGGTAATATAGAAGACTGCCAAAATACGAGATGTGCCAATAGTTGCGTTCCTTAGCAAACTGTCAGCTAGCCAGCCAGTTGCTAGTTAACCAGCTCACCTTCCGATCTACTGTTTTAAATTAAGAATACCTTTTCAAATGTCACGGAGTACGCATTCCGTGTTTCACGACGGTTTCAGTTCTTAACGACACTGATTGTAAGATACGAAAAATCATCCTAAGTTCTTTCTTGTCTTTCATAACGATCTTATCATCATCGTTATCATCGAAATTAATAATAAGACTTAATACTTTAGTACGAACAACAAGAAGAAGAAGAAGAAGAAGAAACTCATTAATCATGTTCCTATGTCTCATTTACTTTTCATCTTTTATATCAAATATCATTAATTTTTAGAATTTTTTTTTCTTTTTTTTTTTTTATATTTTATTACCTTGTTGTCGTTTTCAGCCAGTTAAGTTGCTTCAGTAAATTCCACACTTGTAGATTGATCTATAAAAATAATAATGATATTTAATTAAATTTTATTAATATATATTATAATAATAATATATAGTATAGTAAAAAAAAAAAAAAATATAGTAATATTAAAATATATATATTTAATTTAGTAAAGTAATATAATAGTGTGTGTGTGTATTATAATATATAGAAGAAGAAGTTTATTTTCTAGGTATACTCCTTTAGGGTGTTTACCCCGAAGGGGTGTTTACCCCCCCTACATGTTCGTTCCCTTTGACAATATACTTAATTCTAATTATGCCCTAATATAATATTAGATATTAATATTAACAATATAAAACAATATAAAACAATATAAACAATATTAAACAATATACCTCATTTTGTATTATAATATATATTATAATAAAATAATATGTAGTATAGTAAATATAAAGTATAAATTATACAGTACACAAATATATATATATATATAAATTTAATAAATAAAATATAAATATATATTTAAATTATTCTATAATTAATCTCGCGTATATATCTGACATTATAATATTTTGTTTTATTAAAACATGTAAATAAAAAAAAAAAAAATAAAAAAAAAAAGTTTAAATGAAGTCACGATGATCGATAAAAATGAATTTGAGAAATGATAATAATTAATCATGTATGAGTATAGATATTAAATAAGCACGAATCTCATGATAATTATCATTGGCAGATAAAAAAAAAGGTTAACACGAGGTAAGGAACAAGGGTAATGAAGGGAAAGGGGTAGTAGATTCGATTGACCACGTGCGATTCACGAGATTATGATTATACCTATGATGACAATGATAATGATCTTGACTATCTAACGTAACATAAGATTTTCCACATAAGTATCAATCCTATCGTACTTTAATTTCTTCTGCGAAATGATAAGAAAAGTGTAAAAAAAAAAAAGAAAATAAAAAAAAAATAAAAAAATGATCAAACATCGTAGAAAAGCTTTGTTTATTTGAATGAGTGATATGACAACAAAACAATATTTGTCATTACTATGATTTATTACGAAAAAATGTTGTCTTTATCCCGATAAAATCCGATGACACATATATATATATATTATTTTCTTTCTTCTATGATTTTGTTTGTTTATTTCTTTGTAATGCCATTTAAATGATCGTGCAAATTAAAATGATAAATAAAAAAAAAAAGAAAAAGATCTATCGTATATCTAACGTATTACCAGTTTTTTTTTATTTATCAAATATACCCAACACAAAGTTAATCAAGTGTTTATCATTGAACGAAGCATAGTTGATTTTCCATTTCAAATGTAGATACAAACTTAATCTAAACACAGACACGTTTACTGATTCTTACTATGCATGGATCTTTTTTTTTTTTTTTACAACGAGATCTTGTAAATAATATTAATGAAGAAAGTGGACAAGTACGATAGGAGTACTTTTAACATGAAACACGTTAATCAATGCATGCATTTATTTGGTCAAATAAACTACTCAGCTCGCGGTTGTTGTCTAGGTGCTTTAAAAAATCAGGATATACAGGAAGTCCTTTATGGTAACGAAACATGGGTGTCACTTACGTTACGGGACCAAAAGAATACGCTATCTGGTGACTAAATTCAAAATTAGAGTAGATAGGTCGAATTGCTACGCCACGTTGGATCTCTAACACTGTAATACGCTATCTGGTGACTAAATTCAAAATTAGAGTAGATAGGTCGAATTGCTACGCCACGTGGTGGGATCTCTAGCACTTGAATACGCTATCTGATGACTAAATTCAAAATTAGAGTAGATAGGTCGAATTGTTACGCCACGTGGTGGGATCTCTAGCACTTGAATACGCTATCTGGTGACTAAATTCAAAATTACAGTAGATAGGTCGAATTGTTATGCCACACCCCTGCCAGAGATCCCAATACTATGATTCTTTCTTACACATCCTGTATAATATGCAAGGATGATAGCAAAACATATGAAATAAATAAATAAAATATATGGAAATAATTTGTAGAAAAATAATGTTAATGATGTTGTGTTTAAAAATAATATGTCTTTTTTGTTTTTTGTTTTATATTAAAATTTGTATTGTATTATTTTATTTTATTTTATTTTATTTTTGTTTAAATACTATTTTAAACTGAGTTATATTAGTTATATTTAGGACTATACCGTTGATAACCGCATGATTATTCACGAAAGTTCTTTCGAACACGACACGAATATATTTCGTCAAACATGGCGCGCGTATCACTGATAAGGGGAATCCTTAAAAAACTCGCTTGTCAATACGCTACGATTATCCGAACGGTTATCACTCGTTTTTGCGATAATAAATTACAAACAGGAAACGTTCAAGTGGTTGTTTCATATATTACATACATTATTTTCCTTTTATATATATATATATATAGTATGTGTATGAACGTATATAAATTAGAAAATAAAAACGAACTTTAACGCAATGTAATTTATTATGAAATTATTTAAATAATACAAAATGGATATTTTTAAAAAGATTCTTAATAAAACTTTCATTATTTTTCAATGACAAATTATAATATGAAAACACAATCTCTAAAACCTTCGAATTAAATCGACTTGTTTGTTTAATGACAGTAATTTTTCTTTTTTTTTTTTATTTCATTCGAGCAACTAAACGACATGCATCGATGTAAAACATCGAATCAATTGGAAATGGGAGATACGTTGACTTTCTATCATCAATCAAAAGGTCACCATATATATATATATATATAGGGTGTCTCCAATTTTGGTTTGTTTTTTTTTTCTTAAAAACGTTCCTCTCAACAAATAATAACAAAATATTATTATATAAACGTAATTCTCATTTATTACGATTTATTCCAAACTTATAAACATTATTTTTGTATATAATTATTTAAATTTTACTACAACTTTGAAATCGTTGTAGTACATTTGTTGTTTATCACGTGATGTATTTTTCTATTATATTTATTAATTAACAATTTAATAAGGTGAGAAGATCAGGTGATTTTAAACGACCAATCTTTATTGTTCAGATAAGAATACGTTGAATCATTCAAAGATAATATGAATATTTCAAGATAGTTAACTCACACAACATGTTAAATATTACTTTATCAATAACACATTATTTATAGAATATTACAAATCATGTGATACATTTTGAATAAAACATTTTTAATGATTTTACGTTTATATATTGGTTGTTGTTAAAGAAAAAGACCAATAAGATTTTCTTCATTTAAACATAATTCTTTTGAGACTCTTTTTAATAATTAATGTGTAATAATAAATAATATTTTCTTTTTCTTTTTTTTTTTTTTTTTTCGTCAAAAATACGAGCTAATTTGAAATAACATTTTACGGAAAAGTTAGAATATATAAAGGATAAAAAGAAATTATCGATAAGAGGAACGTTTTCAACGTGACGCGAGAAGGTAATTTAGACGGTCATTAGTATGCTGGAATGAAAGCAAAAAATAAAAAAAAAAAAGGAAGAAAGGGTAGACATATTGATCGTGCTAAAAAAAAAAAAATATATAAAAGAAAAAAAAAACATTTTCCATTTCCTCTCTTTTTCCCTTACTTTCTACTTGCAATTCTTCGAATTCACATTTTATCGAACAATGAGAAATGAAAATCAAGAATGAGATTAAAACACATAAGTATTTTATTTAACAAAAAATATAATCAATTGATTGATTTCAACGTATCTACTATTTACTTCCTGCGTAAAAGAATGAGCAAACAGTACACACACAGTTATAGACACACATATGTTCACACGAGAGTATAAACAGAGGGAGAAAGAGAATAAGAGAGATAATGGGACTCATGAATAGGATTGTTCTTTGAAAGTTGACCCTGCAAAGCATGCTTTCATACTACGAAGTCTGCACAAGCTCGATAAATTCGGAATAATCAAAATAATCCACTACATTAATCAAACCTTTGTTCTTTCTATTTGATTAATCCATATTGTTATTATTATTATTATTATTATTATTAATTGGCATTAGGAACTCGAAAGTTCATTGCCGCAAATACCAAATCCGTCCCTGAGCACGACCCCGTCCATTCGCGGTCTTCGTAGCCCATTTCTTTAAGATCCCTAAATAATATTGTCCTCCCATCTACATCTCGGTCTATCCAATGGTCTTTTCCCGTTCGGTATACCGATTCACCCCCATGCACGCCCACGTCACCTGCCCCATCTTAATCGACGTGATTTTACGACGTTAATGGTGTCCGGTTTTGTTGTACGATCGGTGTACTTCTACGGTATGGGGTTTTCTCCATTACGCACGTTTCCTCATCGTGTTTTGCACCGAACATTTTACAAAACAACTTTATTTTCTCAAACCCTAAATTTCTTTTGATCCCGTAACGTAAGTGACACCACGTTTGGCTACCATAAAGGACTTCCTGTATATCCTGATTTTAAAGCACCTAGATAGCATTGCTTGAATTGATAATGAATAAAATACAAAATGAATGAAAAAAAAAAAAATGTAATTTTTATTAATGTGTCTAGGTGTTTAATATTGTTTATATTAAAATGGAAACACACACTAACATACACACATAATGTGGATAATGGAGGGAAGGGTTAGGGATAATACATATTATGAAGTAGATACTTTAGAACGAACAGTGGCAGAGAACCAGGTCACCTGGGTCATTCGTAAGGTAGTTGGAAAAGCTCAGATCAATATCAAGCGCGAATTGGCACGTTACCGTTGAGAAGATCGACCCATGACCCATTGTGGACCCGCCCATACATTCAATTTACCTATATATTACTTATTTATATATATATTTATTAATATCATTTTTTAACTTCGAACGTGAATCTATACATTTTTTTTTTAATATTTCTTTTCTTTCGTTCTTATATCATACATAAATATATTTATATAGGGAGGGGGGGGTAATAAAATATACAAGAATAAGGGGGAGAGAAAAATATGAAGATGAAAAGATATAACACGAAAAGGAAGGATAGAAGAGCAGTTTATTTATTTACACACTGTGCCACGCGAAAGTATGAATTTGCTACGTCACATTTGCTACGTAGGAGGGAAGCCAACCCGAGAAAAGGTTCAACTACTACTGGAAGAGAGCTAAAATTAATTCTGCGCCCGTTAGATTAGGAAAGCACTAGCTAGGTTTCCCCCTTGGTGTTACTACTCTATATTATCTTCTTCTATCCTACAAAGTAAATACGATGGTTATAAAACAAAACTCTAAGTGAATTCTTATTTTTACATCAGCCCCCTAATTTGTTTTGTTTTTTGTTTCAAAATAACAAAATTTTATTTTTATTTAAAAAAAAAAAAAACAAAAAACAGAAAACAAGACGAAGTTTATATATTTTTTTTTTTTGTACAGACAATTT